TCCACTCCAATTTATTTCATACAAAGTTTTATTTCATTATTAAGCTTCTTTTCCCAGTCAACACAGTCAGAAGAAAGACTCTGCAGATGCAATTCCCAAAAGAAGTGTGTTTACTAATTACAAAGGTAAGGAATATTGTTTCTATCAACATACATTTCTCATTTTCTTCCCTCTTTCCATAGTTAGGATCACAGTCCCTATCACCGTGACCATTTGCTTCCAAACAGATGCCGCAAATTATAGACTATAAAGTTGAAAGCCAGTGTTTTAACTGTGTAAGGAGGAACTCTTTACTGTTACAGAATCATAGTACTTTTTGTAAGAAACAAATTTAAGAAATTTTAGGACTGCAATAATCTCTGCTGAAACAGTGCTATTTTATAAAAAAAAAATTACCTACAGCATTACAGTAACATGATTTTATATTTCATACTATTTCCCTATCTAGTCTTCAGGGGGCAGGGGGACCCAAAACTTCTGGCCACTCTGGATACGGGATGTTTGACTGCAAAAACCAAATCTAAATCTCTGTGACTGAGTCAAGAAAACTTCAAAACCAAAATGAACCAAAGCAACTTCAGCCACACTTGTAACTAAACCAGAGCCAAACTAAAAATATATTTGTTCAACTTCTGTTCTTTTAACCATGCAAAAACTAGCTTCAATCTAACAGTAGATGGACATCTAGTGATGTAATATAATTAACTCATTTTTGAAGTAGCTTCATATATAAAAAGCCCTATCAATAGAAGTGCTTTCTAGCATACACAAGTGTGTATATGGTATTTTAATTATTAAATTATTAATTATTAAAGGCTTTATTTTCAGCTGTGCTTTACCTGCCTTCTTAATTTCATAAAAGTACCATCAGTAGAAATCAGGGGTCTGGGTTCAGATTCAGAAGCCTTCAATTCAAAGCTTCATTTTGAAGGGAAAAGAGTTTAATATAATCAATAGGTAAGGGTTCAGCCCTGAAAATACAATACTTAGGTACTCTATGTAACAATAAATTGGTGGTACTTAGCATAAAAATAGGTCAAGATCAGATAGTCTGTTTTAAGAAAACGTTTTATGCACTGAAGAATATACACAAACTCCAATCATCTATTAAAACAGATTTGCTCTGGAACAGCCCAACCAAAGCAGGCCCACAAATATAGATATCAGGAGTTGCTCCTACACAGCTTATAAAAATATAGGCAACATTTCTCTGAATTATTGCAGAATCCATTTAACAATTGCATATACAGGTTCAACAACTTACTGATGAAACAGGTATTCATTTTCAATGATGTTCTGAAAAAAACAGCAGTCATTGTTTAGTGAGCTATTTTACCTTCCTTAACTTCTTGTCACTTTGGTGCATGCCTCCATGTCTAAGGCCTGCCCATGTCTTTAACGCATTAACCATCACGTCTAAAATAATTTTACCTGGTGCTTACTATACTGAATCTAACTGGATAACACAAGCTTACAATCTTTTAATGCAAAATAAAGAGATTATTCAACATAATTAACATGACTAAAATAATACAAATGACATGAAAGGGGTGGGTCCAATACAGTGATTAATTATTTATTCCACAGTAGTGACACTTCTATCATAGTCCTGCTGTATTTGGAACTGTAAAAATAGAAGGTAACTACCTATAGTCCAACTAGACATAAAACAGTACAGTCCACAGGAGCAATGAGATCACACTGTCCTGGCTAACCAACAGGCTCAGCATATGAACAGCATCTCGTGTAGAAGGTTTTGAAAGCACCTTGTGAAAGGAGAGCGCTAAGGAAAGGATCGTCTCTTATGTCGCTCGTAAGAGAGAAAGAATTTGGAAGGCAGTTCAACACAGGGGCACTCAAAGGTTCCCACACAGTGCCTTTCTTTAACAAGAAGATGGAGGAAAATGTAATCATCAGTAAAATATATGGGATGCCAGTTCTTAAAATGGCAATGGGGGAGGTCTCTATGGAACCTGAACACAGCATATCCAACTTCTGTTTCTGAAAAAAGTGGTCAAGTACTGTAAAAACTCAGAAGTTATCTGGAATTGGTGGGAAATAATAAGGTGAAGAGGTATGCCACTGATAAAAATACTCTGGTTTGTGAAAGCCTACTATGGAAAGTTCCGCAAGGATCTTGTATCACTGTGTATGTAATAAACAGCCTGTGAAATTAAATGCTGCTAAACCACAGGGGATAAAACACCACATTAAGTACATAATGACAGATGCTCAACTATCTATCCTTTCTCAGGAAAGATGAGTCATTCTGGAGAGTTCTCAGAACTTCAGTCAATGCTTAGCAGTGGTTAAAAAGGCAAATACAGTGTTAGGGGTGATTATGAATCAAACAGAATAAAACAGTACACCAGGATACAAAATTAATGAAACAACTCATACAGCACACCATTCTGGTCACCCCATCTCAAGTAAAACATAGGGAAGACTGAAAAGAGCCACAAGGATAAATCAAAGGTATTGAGAGGATTCTGTTCAAGCAGAGATTAAATGCGTGAACAAAGAAATAACTGACGAAATAGCAAAGAACAACACAAACTTACAGGCAACCTAAAAGATGCAACTGTCAGATATGATAGTAATTTCTTACAAGCAGAGGAGAGGGGGCAAAAAGTTAAACTGAGTGACAGGGGTTTTTTGCTTTTTCTTTTTAAAAAGGGAATGTTCTCTCGTACAACATATTTAAACTATAGAGTGCATTCCCACAAAATGTTTTGAATGCCAAAACCAAAATGCGCTATAGCAACAATTAGACTAATTCATTGAAAACAAGCCCAGCAAGAGCTATCAGAAGCCATGATGCGAGTCCAACCCACAGGCTGCAGGAAGCCGAGACAAAATACTGCTCTGAGCTTGTCCTATTCTTATACTTTTTCCACAAACATCAACTATACTCCTAACCCTAAGGCAGAAATAAAAGCCTGTAGAATCACAGAATTGCCCAGGTTGGAAGGGACCTAAAAAGAGCACCTGGTCCAATCTTCCGTGGGAAAAAGAGCATAGATGAAATTATCTAGCACCCTGTCAATACCATCTTGAAATCCTCCAGCAATGGGGACTCTACCATGTCCCTGGGGAGGTTGTTCTTACTACAACAAAATTTCTTTCGTTGTCAAGATGAAACCTCTCCTGGTGCAACTTCTACCCATTGCCTTTGCCATGTGGCTCCTTGTGGAGAAACTCCACCCCCCAAGGACTCCACCTCCTATTCAGTAGAAACTCTGAAAGCACGAACATCTAGCTGAACTCGTTTTCACACTGAAGTGCAACACAGACACAACCCTTCCAGGGCACAGCCCTGAAGACACTGCTTCTAGAAGGGATACAGACAAGGCTTCCCAGCCCAGGGCTCTCAGAGCAGCTCAGCCTCAGGAATTCATCCTGCAACACAAGCTGGGGGAGAGGGGAAAGCAGGTGCTATAATGCAAACAAGAAATAAAGCACCAGCAAGGGCTGTTTTCCCCTAAACTGCTCCTAAGAAAGAAAGAAAAAAAATCCAAAACACCCTAAACATCCTGTAAAAGATCTAGTTAACAAACCCGCCAACCTGAAGTGCACCAGAAGTGTTTTTATTTTTTTAAAGAGGGGGCAGTACAATACACCTTATTTGCTTTCTACTTTACACTTGTGTGACATACAGATATACACTGAAAATGCTCCAAGGCTAAAAAAACTATCCTCAAGAGCAAAACATTAACTATGAAGAAGAACTAAAACACCCACCTCTAGAGCTTAGGGCTTTGAAGAAGCTACTAAGTATTTCAAGTACCTCCGTTAAAAAGTGAGGAAAGAAAAAAAACAACCAACCCACTGTTTTAAAACACAGCAGTAACACCCTCGGGCCTCTCCCACCCGCCCAGCTGCGCGGCTCGCCCCGCCAG